TGGGCGTTCTCCATTCACTGTTATTCAGTGCTTTACAAAGGGGCCAGGAAATTGGCAAATTTTCTCGGACGACCCGAGGAAATCCTTTTTATTTTTATTTTTCTCTTTCTTCTTTTTTCATTTTTTTTTCCTTTTTCCTTTTTCCTTTTTCTTTTCTTTTTGCTTTTTCTTGCCTTCCCTTCTCTTTCTCGAACGACCGAATTCAAATGCATCGATGCGCCATTTCCTAGAAGACGGATAGAATTTTCTTATCAGAGAAGAAAAAAGGAAACGATAGAAATATTCTCGCGTCTTTTTTTACTTTTTATTTTTCCTTTTGAGAAGAGACAAAGACAGAGACTGAGAGTGAGAGAGAGAGAGAGAGAGAGAGAGAGAGAGAGAGAGAGAGAGAGAGAGAGAGAGAGAAAAGAAGAACGACGAAGGGAAGGGGAAAAAAGATAATTGAAATTTAGGACTTCTTAATTACACGCGATATCGATATCGATTCTTCTATAATTAAAGTCGATTAGACTTTCCATTGCCAATTTCCGTGACTTTCATGACTGCCGGTATTAAAAGACAGTAGATTCCAACGTCGTTCTTAGACTTTCTTATCGTCCGTTTAATTATACCTACTTATTACTACTCTTTTTCGTCGTTCATTTAAGTTTCACCCATCGTCTGCCGTTCGGAAATTTATAATCCTTATTACTACTACTACTACTACTACTACTACTACTACTACTACTACTACTACTATTACTACTATTACTATTACTACTACTGCTACTACTACTACTACTACTATTATTATTATTATGACTGCTAATATTACTAATATTACTAATATCATACTAGTATTATTACAGTGTCGTGTTTGAATCGTCATACATATTGGTTTAAATTTTTCATAGGGAATTACGAGTGTCACTTTTAAAAATGTCCTCTTTATCGCGTGATCGTATTTTATATATACATTTTATAATACAATAAGACAAATCTTTTTAAATTAAAACGTATGTGAATCGTTATATATTAAAAGGATAAAATAATGATATAAAATTCTATGCTCTTGTTAACTCGATATTTCATCTGTGTTGTTTGCGAACAATCGAATCGCGTGTATACGCTCATCCATAGGATAACGAAAACTTTTTCAGCCGTTTTACCTAAACCTGAAACATAAAAGTTCGCTTTAGCCTTTAACGATTTCAAAGACTAATTTCAACTTTATTTCTCTGTTCGAAGCACCCATTGCGATGCGTAGTACTTCTCCTGCCTGTCAGAGTTATTTTACGGTGTAACTACTGATACACTGGTTTAATATCGTGTGCCACTATATATGATTACACGAAGTGAGTTTGAACAGGCCTCTTGTTAATGTCCGTTAGCATATGTGTGCAATATAATTGCTTACTGTCTGATTCGTTCTATCGAATATCTACTACTGTTCGACTTATAAACGGTATCGTGACATTATCGCCTGACTGCAGACAGCTTCGTTACTACTGTCAGTCAGTACGTATATCTATCTACTAGCTGACGCTGAGTTATCAGTCGGTATTAATGAAATTTCTTGTAATATATCAACTTCGTTTTCTTCTACGTCGATCATATATTAGATATACAAAAGTTCTCTTTAAAGCTTATAGAATTCGTTTACGTAAATTCAATCAAAATCTTTACTCGGAAAAATATCTTTTTTTTTTTTTACCTCCTCTTTCTTTTTTCTCTCTTCTCTCTCTCTCTCTCTCTCTTTTTTTTTTTCAACACCGCGCGCCTTTCCTTATTGAATCGCGACCCCCTCCCGCCTCTTCACAATCTAGCTAGTATCCATCGGACTCGATCACATTTAAGAGAATATTCCTCGAAATATCCAATTTCGAGGTATATTCCATTTGATCCTTCGCCGATCTCTCGCAAAAGTAAATCAGACCGTGAAAAACGTAGGACCCTTCCACCATTCGTAATCATGATTGGAATCAGTCGGAAATTTTTTGGAAAGGATCTTTGGTGCTGTGCGGGCAAGACGACCTTGTATATATGATATATCTACGTATGTATTTACGTACATATATATACATACATACATACATACATGCATACATACATACATATATATATATATACATACATATATATATATATATATAGATATATCTACATATTCTATATACACTGTCAGTTTCTATATTCCAAAGCAAATTATCTCGCATTGTCTGACCTATTTTACACTTGGCAGGTTGGAAAAGTTGAGTAGCACGTAGAGGAGCAATTTGCTTAGAGAGGTCCGATTTAAAGAGAAATAGTATTGGTAAAGGGTAAGGGTATTGGTAAAGGGTAAAAGGTAAAAAAATGGTAAAAGGTTCGAAACACGCCCTTCTAGTTAGAGAATCAAAAAGAAAGATAAAAGTATTCGATATTCCAAACCCATTTACCGATGTCTTTAGGGAACATCTGTATACAGTATTTTTTAGTACGTTTTTTAGCTTTATATTTATCGTTAGTGTAAATCTGTGAAATGAACGTGGCTCATAGAAAATATATAGATAATTTTAAATCAAACAAATATCAAACAAATATAATTTGTATAAATTGTATTAAGTAATAGTTAAATTATCAAATTTGATCATAATGACAAAATGTATGTAATGACAAAAGTTGTAAATGACCTTTGTTGTAAATGACAAAAGTTTTTCTTTAAAAAGTTTGAATATATCTTACGTCCTCTTTGCAAATATAATACATACATGCATATATATATATATATATATATATATATATATAAAAGAGAGAAGAAGAAAAGAAATTACATATATGACAGAGAATGATAGATGAAGAGTAACCGTGAATTCTTTAACTGAGAGAGAGAAAGAGAGAGAGAGAGAGGCAAACGTTACTATGTGCATACTTGTTGACGTGGCGGATTCTATTGTGCGAAAACTTCCCGGAGGCGTTAGTCGCGAAATGTATGCGAATATTTTCTATGTGACGAATCCCTTCTTAGATTCGTATCACCTTTAGCGAGATAAAGACGAGGATTGGAAGGAAGATCAGCGATATATCAGCGCGATTCGCAAGGGGAAGCCAAATCCTCGAGAAAAGGAAGATGTCAGCGAGGTTGCCAGAGTAGTACATACATATATACCTATACATCTATATATATATATATATATATATATATATATATATATATGCCTTTGGATGCACCAACACCTTGGTACCTTTGAATTCAGTTTATTCTTTTCGTTTTAAGCAGTCCTCGACTCCATCTCCTACGTGTTCCAAGCACCTTCCGATGCGCGGCGTCACGGCGTGAATGAAATGAAGGACTCCGTTGGGGCTACACCCAATCAATACTAGGAAGCCGAGTTCCACCTTCCTCAATCACGTTCTCTCTAGCCTGATAAAAATCTAGGAAACGGTGTACTCGAATATTCCACTCGCGTTTCGTGCCCGATAAAAAAGAAAGAGAAATAGAAAGAGAAAAAAGAAAGAAGAAAAAAATAAAAAAAAAAAAAGAAGAAAAAATGTTACATAACTTTAAAATAATTTTTTATCCTTCGAGAGATCTTAATATTGCGATCAATAATATCTTACTCTTTTTTTTTTTTTAACGCGCTCGCGTAAACGTAATAATCATTTAGAATTTAAGGATAGATCGAGAGAAAGCTCGAACGTTTCGTAATTAAAAATATTTATATGTTTAGGAAATTGCCGCGATCCTGATAAGCTTTCAGAGGCACGCCGAGTGGCAAAGTCGGGAAGTTAAAGTGCGACCTCGAAGTGGCTCGATGTTGCTTTATTCGAGAAAAAAGGTCCGCTATCGGCGAGATGGTTATTGTTGGAAAAAACGGAAGGATGGTAAAACCACGCGGGAGGATCATATGAAACTTAAGGTCAATGTCCTTTTACACTTTTATTTCTTACATATGTACAAGTACATAAATAGAATTATGATCTAGAGATTATAAATGACCTTTTGACATTTTTATTATACGCATACGTGTATACGTATAGGTACTATGAGAGAAATGAAATTTGTGTCTACGAAATCACAGGTCCAGGGGGTCGAATGCATCTATGGCTGTTACGTGCATTCGGCGATTCTACCAACGTTTCACAGGAGATGTTATTGGCTCCTTCAGAATCCGGACGTCGTCCTTGTCCATTACCTAAACGTTCCATATCCGGACGGTGATGCGAAGTTAGCAGCTCTGCCAACCTGTCTCGCGTTACCACCAGACAAGAAGGAATGGACGCGAGACGAGCTGGCTTCTCAATTAAGGCCCATGTTCCTCGGTGGAGACGATGATCCAAATAATCCTCATCTCACGCAGCACTCCAATCATCCGGTTGATATGATCGTTTCGCAACTGCTAGATAGACAGAGGGCATCCTCTACCTCTTCTAGCAGTAGCGCACAGCTTGCACCTAGAAGGTTAACACCAGATAATCAGGTAAATAGAAAATAGTCATAATCATTTTTAAGTTAATCCGGTGTGTCTCATCAATAGTTAAGTCGATACTATACCTAATAGGTTTCATCGACGACCGGCGGTCAGCAGCCTTCGACAACAGCTTCGCCGGCTCCACGTGTATATTCCAGACATTCCCATTCGACTCAGAGCCAACAGCCGGCTCCTTTAGTTTTAAGTTTGCAACAAATTCAAGGTGGAGGTGGTCTTCTGATACTGAACAGTCAACCATATCATCATCAACAACAACAACAACAACAACAGCAGCAGCAGCAGCAACAACAACAACAACAGCAGCAGCAGCAGCAGCAGCAGCAACAACAACAACAACAACAGCAGCAGCAGCAGCAACAACAACAGCAACAACAACAGCAGCAGCAGCAACAACAACAACAACAGCAGAGTCAGCAAGTTGAAATGCAACAAGTGACGGAGCAACAAATCGTTCAGCAAACTAGCGTCGATAGAGAACAACAAACGCAGCAAGAGATCGATGCACAGGATAGCATGGATCGGTCAACCGTTCAATCCTTACCTATCACCAGTTCTGGCTCCGAGGTCACAGATTTTGCAAAAATGTTAGACTTGAGTCAAGAAGATATTCAGAGGACATTATCCGCAAACATGGTACCGCCCTCACCGTCACCATCACCTGCGGACGATAGTATGATAAATCCGATGGATTTTATCGATTCGTCCGACGACGTGCTGATCAATTTGGATGCCTTCGATGTATTTGGAGATTTACCGGAATTGCACGATTTCGAAGCCGAAGATACGAAACCGGATATTAGGGGAGGACCTGATAACGATGTTGGATGTCAGCCTGGGACAACCGTCCAGATCGCAGAATACAGTCCCGAGTGGAGTTATACCGAGGGTGGAGTCAAAGTATGCATATCAAACGCTCGACAAAGTCTTTATGCGTGTCAATTATTTATTTTGAAATATTTTTATTGATTTCTGAAATACTCGTAGGTTTTGGTTGCCGGTCCATGGACAGGTGGGAACGGTTCGCAAAATTATTCGGTGCTTTTTGATGCGGAACCAGTAAAGGCCTGTTTGGTTCAACCTGGTGTATTACGTTGTCGATGTCCAGCCCATGCTCCGGGTATTGCATCCCTTCAGGTTGCATGCGATGGCTTTGTCGTATCGGACAGTGTTGCTTTTGAATATCGAAGAGCACCTACGACCGAACCAAATCCAGAAAGAGCGTTGTTGGATCGATTGGCGGATGTGGAATCTCGATTACAAGGACCAGGTCCGCCGTCTCCAGCAGCTCATCTGGAAGAACGACTCGTGGCTTATTGCCAGGTACGTTTTGTAAAATTCGTAAGTATATATCAATCAAGACGCTAACGATGGAACATTTTGTTCTTTAGGACGCTGTCGTTCGTCCTTGGAGAGTCGGTGCTGAAGCTCTACAATCAGGTGGACCGACTTTGTTACATTTGGCAGCAGGATTGGGATATTCGAGATTAGCTTGTGCATTGCTTCATTGGAGGGCTGAAAATCCGAGTAACGTTTTGGACGCTGAAGTCGATGCCCTGAGACAAGACAGTGCTGGATTGACACCGCTCGCTTGGGCCTGTGCCGCTGGTCACGCTGATACCGCTAGAATACTTTATAGGTTGGCACTTGACGATTATCCCGACGATTATTACGAAAGGAATGAAAGATGAAACGTTCGTTCTGTCGTTTGACTTTTGCAGATGGAACGCGATGGCGTTACGTGTGAGGGATCGTCAAAACAGAAGCGCCACCGAGCTTGCCGCAGAGAACGGACATACGGCAATCGCCGAAGAACTGAATCGGCTCGAAGCCAGAAGGCAAGACGAGAGGCTTTTCTTGCGACCTGCCAGCCCTAGCCCTAGGAGGCCTTCTCAAGACAGCGGTCTCGATCTGGCGTTGTGTTAGTCTTGTTTGCTATTATACTGCCCTTCTCCGTGCACACGCGCATACACACAAAATATCCACACGTAAATTACACACATACATACATACATACATACAAACACCACACACACACATACACACACGTACATATACACACCTTCCTTCCTTTACCCCGCGCCACACCCAACAGTAAGTCCTAGAGAGTAAAAGGCCGTAAGTTGTGCGAGTGTATCATTTGAGGCAAACGAGTAGTATTAAGGGGTTTATCGAAAAACACAGGTGATTCCCCGCTCCTGGACAACATGGAATTGTTGCAAGAGGATGAGTCGTCGTTAGGCCTTGGCGATCAGGGAATGGAGAGCGCTCCGACCCCTCAAGAGACCGTAGGTCCGTACCCTCCTCGTTTCCCCTTCTGTTTGTCTGTCTGTCTGTTTGCCTGTATCTATCTATCTGTAATTATCCGTAACTCTGTTTTTTCCGACACACACGCTGATAGATCTATCATCCGAAATGACAGTATTGCGTGGCCTTTGATCCGTAGAATCCTAGCTAATACAGCGCCCCTTACTTTAACACGATCTCTTTCTCTGTCTCTGTATGCGTACAAACGGCGACCAGGCGGTCGAGGCTCACTTATCCTCCAACTCCTCTGATACTCTTGCAGCTTGAGCAGTATTGGTGTTGCTTGGCCTTCGTAAATGCTGGTGTTGGATGATTGCTGTATAAAAGTCTAACTTTCTTAGCCGCCTACTAACACGTATCGGCCCCTGCCGATCTTTGTCAACGACAAACAATGATTTCATTCGCACGCGACGAGCGTCGGGTCGTACCTCGTGTGAATAGGGTATCGCAAAAAAGAAACTTAAAACAAAAGTATTAATAATAATAATAATAATAATAATAATAATAATCATAATAATCATAATAAAAATAATAATAATAATAATAATAATAATAATAATAATAAGGACAAAGAGAATCTATCAAAGAAAAGATGACGAAGAGGTGGCTAATAGAGAAACTCTTGTAAACTCATCGACTATCTCGAAAAACATCGCTCTAACGAGTGATCTCTCAAGGAACAGAGGGAGATATCAACATCGGTCCCCTCCTTCAAGATGTCGGTCTGTATTATCGCAGCCGTTTAACCGGTGTAATACGAGTAACGGCGAGTCTTGGTGTTAAACGTTTTATTGACATGAGATGTGGCTCATCGTACGTTAACGGCTTTTAAACTTCGGTGTTGTGATCGGTGTGGTTTCGGCGGTTCGGGATCAGACTTTACAATCTTCGCTAGGGTGGTGATTCCTTTTTATAGGGGAAGAAGACGCGAGGGTGCTGACGTTGGCCGAACAAATTATAGCCGCGCTACCGGAAAGGATCAAGAGAGCGGAAGGTGATTCTCCGTCTTCTTCCTCGTCCCCTCCGCCGCCGCCACCACCGTTGTCGCCGTTAGAAGATGCTTTGATGGAGCAAATGGTGAATCTCACTGCTTTTTCTTTATTTACTTACAATTAGATGTACATAGATAGATACACATACATACATACATAAATACGTAATTAACATACCACATAAAAAAAAAAAAAAAAAAAAATACACAAATACGTACCTGCATAGATATCATTTGTACTGTAATGAGACGCGTCACGTAAACGATGTAAAAATGTTAAAACGTGAACTCACGTGAACGCACCTGGCGAATCGAACTTTTTTCCAGCCTCTCGATTCCGGCGAATTGTTCGACTCGTACCGTGAGTGCAGCGGAGGCGCGGCTTCCGTCTCGGACGCCGACGCCGAGGCGAGTCCATCGAGTCCTTCCAGCAGTTGCCTCACACCGGACTCGCCCTCGCCACCCCCGACGACGGCCGACTTTTGCGAATTTTTGCAATTGCAGCTGCAACTAGACGGCGGTAACAATCAGAACGGTGGCGGTCAGTACTATCCAAGCTGTAACGAGCGGAAATTTGGCAATGGAACCGATGGAAATGGGAATACCGATGGGAACGAGGCTGACTTGAGTAGGTTGACCCTGTCCGATCGAGAGCAGAGGGAACTTTATCATGCCGCGAGAATGATCCAGAAGGCCTATCGGAGTTACAAGGGTCGTCAGAGGCAAGAAGAGGCTGAAAGACACGCAGCCGTTCTCATCCAACAGTATTATCGTCGGCACAAACAGTGCGCTTATTACAGGTAACTAACTAATCATCAAGCAATCAATTAATCAACTAACCAATCAACCAACCAACCAACCAACCAACCAACCAATCAACCAACCAACCAATCAATCAATCAACTAACCAATCGACCATGATTATCTTTGTTACCTATCTTCATCACGATCCTTTTTCTCTCTCGATAAATCATTTCCATTCATTGTCTCCTCGTTCTCTCTCTCTCCCAGTTCCTTCCATCTTTGAATCTCGCGAGATCACCCGACTAATTTTAACGAACGATGAGTAATTATCGAGAGATACGTACATGCACGTTCGCGGCACATTAATTTAACGCGATCCAGGTCAACCAGACCGATAACGCTCGAGTTCGAGGTACGTGCCGCACGGGGCAAACTTTTAATTGGCGTCGTAAATAATTCAACAACTTTTCCTAGAGTCCCTCTTTCTCTCTCTCTCTTTCTCTCTCTCTCTCTTTTTCTTTCTTTACCTACCTTGTCCGGCCTTCCGACAACCCCCTTAACCTCCCTACACTTACCACGAGCTGCGACGGTGCGAATACGAGATTAACTTATACTTTTCTTCGAAGTTAATACTAATCTCCTTCGATCGTGAGCCAAGTTCTCCTTTCTCTCTTTTACTTTTTCTTTTCATTTACTTTTTCTCTTTCATTCATTTCCGCCTCCCTTCAGGATTCCATTGTTCTCGCAAATTTCTTCAAAAAATTTTTTATTACAACGTTTTTTCCTCTCTCTCTCTCTGTATATATATATATCTCCCTCCCCCCCTTCCCTCTTGCTTCTCTTCATTTTATTGTTTGTTACGTTTTAAAGGCAAGCTACAAAGGCAGCCCTGGTGATTCAAAGCAATTATCGGAACTATCGTTCACGTCCTGGGTCCGCTTGTTCAAGGCAACAGGCAGTCCATCAGCAAGCGGCCCATCAAGCAGCAAGAAAGATCCAACAATTTATGCGGCAGTCAAAAATCAAGTTAGTAGGCCAGCCCGTTTTCTCTATCCCGTGCATTTCCTGTTGCAACGATGTAGCACGCACATTAGTTACGTAGAGTTCTTGTTAGCACACAAAAAGGCTTACCGTACGAAAGACAACTAAAGTTCTAAAGTCTCCCTCTTCTCTGTGTGTACTAATGCAGCTTGTCGTGGGACGATTCACGACCGGTAAGTAACAAAACAACAAGTAGGGCGATCGTTTCGGCGAACACTAAATCGATAAAAAAAAAAAAAAAAAAAAAAAAAAAGAAAAAACAAAAAAAAAAAGAATAAAATAAAATAAAATAATTTAAAATAAAAATAATAATAAAGAACAAATTAAAACAAAAAAAAAAAAAAAGAACGAAAGAAAAGGAATTGAAGAAAAAGATTGAAAGAAAAAAAAAATTAAAGAAAATAGCAAAAATAAAAAAAAAGAAAAAACAAATAATAATAATAATAATAATAATAATAATAATAATAATAATAATAATAATAATTATAATACACGTCAAACGATACCTGCTGAATATCGCTTCAACCACGACGATCAGTATTCCTTGTTACACGACACGAACTTCTTACCGATGTCCGTCGCAGTTACTTGCAGTCTTTTTCATTGTCAGTGTTACATATACATATATACATATAGAAAGTAACGACGCATTCGTGTTACTCGTATTAGCGGTGTTTTACTCAAGTAAATCTTTCTCTTTCTCTATATATATGTATATGATGTCGTGTTGATTTCGAAGCTTCCATCGTAGACGAAAGAAGTTTTTCGATCTTCAAGCTGCCAACAGGAATGAATCTTACCATATTTTCTATGAGATTATTTAACCTGTTAACAGGTTATAACGATCGATTATCATTATAATTTTTATTTTCATTTTCATTTTCGTTTCCGTTTCCGTTTTCTTTTTATATAAAATAGTTATACGTATAAATGAATATTTTGATTCTTTTTTTTCTTTTTTCATTAAGCATTTTTAATTCAATTATTGTCAATATACATTTTACATAAAAATAAATTAATATTATGTTTTTGATCATAATAAAAAGATATAAACTAGTTGACAGGTTAGACTAATGGTTTTCAAATTAATTATCGATCATCGTTTCATTTTCAGTATACGTGCTAGAAAAAATTTAAAATTTGTCACAAATTGATAGTTAAAGAAGTAAATTGCAAGTATCGATATGATTTTATTAAATTAAAAAAAAAAAATCATTTTTTGGTAGGTGTAAAAAGTATATGTATATATATAAAGTAAAAAAAAAAAAAGTAAAGGAAAAGAGAAGAAAATGCTTATAAATAAAAAAAAAAAAGAAGAAAAAAAAGAGAGAAAAAAATTCTTCTTGCATCGTTAGAGAAACATTTGTTCGAGATGACAAGCAGCTTGATCGATCGAAGGACAGCTAGATCTGCGCCTGTTAACGTTGTCGTTGACGAGTTTCGTGGGATTGCTTGATCGTTCGGTGTTGTGTATCACTAATCCCCGAAAAACGGAGTGGATTATGAACTAGGATCGTTATATCTAGCAAATGTTTCTTGCAAATTAGACTGCAGAACGCCAGGGCCGCCGCAAACGGGAACGTGAGGCTGCCAGCGGCCATTTCGCGGGCGGTTGCTGTCCCCCAAAGCTCGCACTCATCTAGCCCAGGGGTCAGCCTACTAGCCGGCAAGCCAGAGGTCATTTAAACGATCGTCAATCCAGCAGCACGAGGAATGCCAATGGCGACACGATCGGAAAGTAATTCCACAGGAGGAAAGTCCTTTGAATCGATCGATCGATCGATCGATCGATCATAATAAGCTGAAAGATATACTTATATATATTTCTTTCTTATCACCTAAACGAGCTACGAGAGAACATAAGAGAATTTTGATCTTAAAAAAAGGGAAACGTTTTGTGATACAATCGAGTTTGTTTTTAATTGTCTTTAACTCTTTCTTTTTCTCTTTTTTCCTTTTTTTTCTATATATATATATATATATATATATATATTTAAAAAAAGATTATTTTTTTTGTTCTTCTTTTTCGTTCTCTCTTGTGCTTGTTTTTTTTTTTTTTTTTCTTTTTGTTTCTTCTTCTTCTGATCATCGCAATATCGACGATTAAACATTATCGATAATATCTGACTTGATTCAATTTATTTTAAATTATTAAATTGCTAATTGAAAAATTTGTCCTTCTTAACGTTACATTTGTTAATATCAAATTAAGTTCATTCTTTTATTCTCAAGCTATTTTATTTTTATTTAACAAATCTTGATTAGATTGATGTTCTTAGCATCGTTCTCGTTCTATCGTTTCTAAGATTTTTCTTATATATACAATCAAATGTATCAAATGTATTAGTTTTGTCAATGGGAGGAACGAAAATCCTGCCTCTAGTATGTTATTGTAATTTTCATTAAGTTTCAGAAACGAAAAACCGATATTGTGAGAGGTGGAAACGATCGTGTTAATACGACATGATTTCGACGTACGAGAAAGAGAAAAGAGAGAGAGAGAGAGAGAGAGAGAGAGAGAGAAAGAGAGAGAGAGAGAGAGATAAAGAATTTATGTCCTTGGGCTGATAAAGGCAGGGCTGTCATAGTAACTTGGAAAGAAAAAGAAAGACAAAGATAGATTTGATATATTTTGAAAAAAAAAATAATAATAATAATATGAGTGCCGAATAGGCACTCGAATCCTTTCATTTTTATATTTCACATCGATCTATATACGTATATAATATATTATGATATATACATAAATAGACACACGTACACATTTACACATACATACGTACATATATCTATATATACATATATATATATATATATATATATATATATATATATTATTTTAATGAAAATCTTAGTGCGATTATCGAATCCTATTCACAGTCGTCGTACCCGTATGCTCTGTTCTGGTGCTCTTCCATCATACGGCAATCGTTGTTAAAATCTAAAGCCGAACGAGATTAGTGTAGATG